GCTAGAGTAACTAACTCTTGGTTGTTACAGTTACTGGAAGTTTACAACCTAAGCTGGACAATGGGTAATAACCTAGTTCATTTGTGGGGTGAAAGTTAATTATCCCTTTTGTTGTGAGTATGTCAATAGTCCTCGTGCTCTGGAAGGCTAATATGACAATGGTAGATATGTCCTTGGTGATATAAAGGACAGGTGGTAATATGTGAATAGAAGTGTGAGGGTATGTGTGAGTTTGAAGTGTTACATGACTAGCTTCAAGATATAGCCAACACTAGGTGTGACAATGATAGTCCTCACTTGTTGAGAGACTAATAGAATAAAGATAATAGTGCCCTACACTTGATAAAGGACAAACTATGATACACTGAGGGTCAATAGAAGGGTGAAGCAATGCTTGACTATGCTTCAGTGACTGACTGCAGATGAGCTTACACCAGATCAATAGATGACTGATATAAGTTTGAGATGAACTATAGAATACTAGAGCTACTGGTGGCAAATAATAAACAATTCAGACTGTAATCACACTTGGACTACTGTTATCTGTGACAGACATGACTTAATGACTAAGCTTCCTAAGGTGGGCAATACCTCTTGTAAGTAAAAGTTTTTATTTTTATTAGGTGGAAAGTTGGCCTTCTTATATACCTTTTGGCTATAGGGGCTCCTTCCTAGTTGGTAATTACAAATGGTAGTACCAAAATATCTAATGGAAATTCAAAAGGCCAGAATCATCTATTAGGAATCTAGATGATTCTAGAGTGGTCTGTTTGAGACTAAAAATAGAAAAGTAATTTGAAAATGTGGGGCAAAATATGACTCAGTCAGGCACAGTGTTCTATTTATAAGAAACAAATGCCAATTCAGCCTTTCCACAGTAAAACAAGAATTTTGGAGAATATCCTTATTTGGAAGCCCTCCTAAAGTATCCAGACTGATAGGGGTGTGAAAGTATTACCTACTCCCCAAAAACCGGAGTGATTGGTGAAGTGGTTGTTGAGAAAAAGGCAGATTATGTCGTGGGAAATTCACATTCCCTTTTCAGAAACTGACCATGTGCAAGCCATGTGGTCAAATTTCAGTGTGGCTGACATTGGCTGACAGTAAGTGCGATACAAGCATTCTTGTTTGGCTCATATCTCCAGAACTAGCAGCCATCAAAGTATAAAACTTTGTGACATAGTACTTTGGAATGTGTACTTTAAGATGAGGTACTTTTGGTGGGGTACAATATGTTGTGGAATGCCATGTCCATACATGAAACAATTTTCATATATGACAACGGTTCCTGGCGCTAACTGGGGGTGATGAGACAGCTTGAGAATGTGAGCAGGAGCTGGTTGATTCTGGGGCCTTGTCAGAGGATGGTTGGGATTAGGGTGCTCTGAAGTCTGGGGGCCTGCTCTATAGGTTTGTCACCCCATCATGTACCGCCATGATCATGAGGTTGCTTTGGCGGGACCATTGGTTATCCAATTGTCATTGTCTCCAGCTGTCAGGTAGCTGTGTTTGGGTCTTGGCGCCTTGTGTATGCATGCTATAACCTGGGTTGGTGTTCTCTGGTGCCCTACCATTTCCAACCTTGTTCTATCAGTTGCGCTTGACAGGCTTCCAGCCGTAACTTTGCTCAGGCTCCTGCAGTACGTCTACTTGACCCATGCCCTATGGGTTGTGGGGTCCAGGGATAATTTCCCAGGAGGCCGGTGTCGATGATGAGAACTGTTGTTAGAAAACCACACACAAAAACAAACTAACACACAATCCTCCCAGATTCCACGGAACTTGTTTATGGGCTTTGCCTCCTAGAACAGTGGGTGCTCTGGTTGTTCGTGGGGTGGTATATATGAGGATCCTTCAAAGTAAAAACCAGTGATGTATGAGTGTGGGTTTTGAGGAGGAGGGATAGTTGAATTGATAGAAGATAGGGGCTTAGTGACGAGTATAGATGAGCACTACCTTGCTAATTGTAGCACAAGGTAGGTTTGAGAACGACGAGGATGACGAGGTGATGAGGTTCCCAGTGATAGCAGGCTCCTGACACACAAACTGTAGTGCTCAGAAGGACTCTAATCGAAAGGGATGACAATGACTTCAAAAATGGGAAGTGATGATGACAGCAGTTAACAGTGGTAGAAGTGGGAAGTGTTGTGACCACACTGGATCACAAGTAGCAGAGTAGTGAACTTGAGAGTAGAGAAGAAGTCTGGATTGGATTTCTTGTTTTTTTTTACAAGGTAAAATACAGGGGTTTATATAGTAAAAGAAAAGTAGGCTATGCACAGTATAGCTGTGCAAAAAGAATGAGAAAGAATATGAAGGAAGGAATGTATGCTGATGAATCCTGCGTAGGTAGTACAGGATAAGATTGTCAAAAAAAGGAAAAGAAAGGGATAGAACAATAAATGCTGTGAGTAATGTCACAGGTTTGTACAGCCATAAAGTAAAGTCCAATAGCAAAAAGAGAGCAGGAAAAGCATGATGTCATGGGAAGATGCAGTAAAAAAAAGGCAAGGCAAAACACTATCAGTATCAACACAGTTCCTTTATTGTCAGTCAGGCATTCTAAAAAATATGTGTCCATAAAAATGATTCAAAAATCAAAAATAATTGCACTGTAAATGAATGTTCTGCTGGAAAAAAAAGAAACTGGAGCCACCGGTCCACCACCTAGTCCAAATCCGACAGTTCCATGGCCTTACCAATGGACTGGTTGTGTTGGACCACCTGGTCAAATGAGGGAGGGAGAGGAGTAGTTCCAATTTGGAACAAGTGAGTCCCAGGCAGCGTGTGATAGGTGTAGCTGTAGCGAAGACGATGGACAAAAGATAAGTGTACCCAAGTGAATGGGACAGCGATGAACATGGGCGACGCAAGGGGATGAACCTTCTCCAGCTCAAAAACTACCCACCCACGCTCCAACCAGGCAAGACGAGCGACCGATGCTTTGATAGTATATGATGGTAGATCGATGTCATGAAGAAGGACCTGTTGCCCTACTTGAACCGGCCGCCGGGGCTTTGCTGATATCAGCAGTGGCACGTGGTAGTCAACGGATTGGCGATGGAAGCGGATAGGAAGTGGTGACATCAGAAATGGTGGGGGTGCAAATAAGATGAGGAGGAGGAGGGTGGAGGTGACAAAAAAGTGGATTAGAATGGGGATCCAGAAACGACCGTCAGGTGAGAATAAAAAGGAGAGGAAGGGGCCCATGGTGGGGCTAGGCAAAGGAAGGGGAGTAAGGGAAACGACAAAAGCAAGGGCGCAATGCAATGTGTAGCCAGTGGCGACGCGAAAATTTGCCAAAATGCCGAAACGCGGAAAGTACCAGATGGAAAAGCAAAGGTGAGCGTGACTGGATTGCCTAATAGAGGTGGTGCTAATCAGCCACAAGTTCAAAAAGGGCAATATTAATTACTATTCCACGTGGCACTGTGCCTGTGTGGCGCAAAGGCGAGTCTTTTTGAATATTTGCTTCGTTATTGACACCTGTCCATGCTACCAATCAACTTTGGTGCATGACACCGGGTTTTCTGTTGGGAAGAAGTGGTATAGGGCTTCTGCGTTGTGGGACTGGTGCTTTGCAAGGCATTCTAGGAATGCAGGGCATTATCTATCCCGCAATGTGTGACCTCTGTCTCAGCACCTGGCTGGCTCTTGCATGAGTTTCCACACTTGTGCTTTTTTACCCTCAATAATAAGTCCTTGTTGTATCACCTGGTTAGCGGCTGTTCGAGATGTGAAGGCAAAGATGGTGTGAGTAGTTCTTTGGTTGGAGGAGCAGTGACGGATGGGTTTAATCCATTGTGCTCTGGTTATGTTGCCGCTCTCTAGGCCACTTTTTGAGGCCGTCTCTGCTAGAGATGTAGGGGAATCAATATTGAACATGGTGGGGATGTTCTCTACCACTACTCGTAGAACTCATTTTTTGATGACTGTGTTAGGTCCAAAGTGTTTAATAAACACTGATCTGACTTCTCTATTGTTGAACCATTGGCTGCAGATTCACTATTCAGCTCATAGATGACTCCACCACTTTTGAGTTTGCGGGCACTTAGGAAAGTAGTCCCTGTGGGTGTGAGGCAACGTTAAACTATAACAAAAACAACACCCATCTCCGACTGCACTTGCAGGGAGTAAGAGGTACAATGAGCTTGAGGTCAACAGATGCTAGCAAATATAGCAAGTAGAGGACTTGTGAGTAAACTCAGAGGTTTCTGATGAGGAGAAAAGTGGATGTTTCAAGTAATAGAAAGCTAAAAAACTATACATGAATGTATAGGGCTTATATAGCTAACTGTCTATCCCTCAGACCGAAAGAGGAATAAAAGAAAAGTGGTCTGAGGAAGAAATCAACCAATAAGAAAAAGAATAACTATTGTACAACTTTTAAGGATTAATCAGCAGGTGAGAGAATGTACTAATAATAAATATTGTTACACGTGTTCAGGAACCGTATCCTCATGGTGAGGTATGATCCTGACTAAAGTGTTTATTAATATCTCCAGGCACTGATGGGACTTGGAGCGGATTGGCGAGATCTCTCCCACCGGCCCTTACCCATTGTGCTGGCTGGCTGGGAGTACTACCCAGTCTCTGATCTGCGATACAAAGTGGTAATGATGGTTAAGAAAGCCTGTGAGGGCTATGAGAAGCAAGATAGCAAAAGATACCTCTAGCCCTAGGGCTAGAGGTGTAACAGGAAAAGTGTTTGAGAACCAAAACATGGAACGGGAAGATAAGAAAATAATAAATGGTCCTTACAGTGGGGGGAGAAATTTCCGTGGTGCAGAGCATTTCCAGGGCAAGCAAAGCCTCTGTGACAAGTTCTGCCTCTCTCAGGTCCTTGAGACTGTTGTTCCCTGCTATTGCACTCTTGTTCACTAAGACCTGTTGTGATTGAGCTTTGCATTTGGCAAGCATGCTTGCATGCGCTGGGGTTACCCCCGACTAGATGGCTGTTGTGTATGAGCACTGTGGGGGGTGTAGGGAGACAGTGAGGCCTAATTGCTGCCTACTTCCACTCCTTCCAGTCCATTAGACAAGTTAATGTGCGTGATTGCCATAGCAATTGCGCTTTCTAGCATCTCGGTAGAGTTATCAAGTTGGGAACTTACCTCCTTGACAACTCTTGATAGTATTTCTGCTGTAGCCATGCTCCTGTTTGCCACTTCTCCAAGCACTGTGGTCTTTTGCGCAAAAAGTGTCAGGGGTCCTTCCACATGTTTTTCTAGCGCTTGGATGAAGTTGGCAGTAGAGCACTCGATGCATGAGTCCTCCAGGAGGATTGTGATTGCTCATAGGGTGTCATAGTGTAGAGCTGTAAGACTGGATGCCGTGTTTGTGAACTCTAGCAATGCCAAGATGAGAGTATTGATCATGGGAGCAGCCAATGTGATGACAAAGCCTTTGGAGGCAAGGAGGTTTTGAGCAGAGGCAATGGTCTTTATCAATGTAGGTTGTCCTGGGTTGGTTATTAGATCTGAGCAGGTCTTTATCATGGAAAAGAGTTGTGGGTTTTGGTCTTGTCTGGAGCTGAGTTGAGAGGGTGCAGTTTGGGAGCTAGTGGGTAGCAACATCTTGGATCAGCGGATTCTCCTTAGAACAAGTAAGACAAAAGCTAGTACTGTGTATGTGAGAGAGAGAGTGTGTGTGTGCAGACTATTAAGAGTGCTAGTAAGGTTTCTATTAAGTTGTTAAGAGTCCTCTATGCCGAAGGGGCTGGTATAGAGGGCCTCAGCAGTGGTCCTTAGCCGGGGTCCTCGTGGTGCCAGTCCAGGTGATGGTGGTTGCTGGTAAAGAAAGGTCAATTTTAGCTGATACAATAACAAACAACAATGATTTAAGAATACTTGATTTTCATGGTGCCCAAGTCTTTGTTTATTCTATTATAAACACTGATTCTCTGTGACCTTGTATTCTTTTGTAGTCTTTTGCTGATCTGTTTTCTTCAGATTGTCCCCAAACTGTAACAACCAAGAGTTAGTTACTCTGGCGCACACAGGAACACACTATAAAGGGAGTGAATGGGGAGTGGTTACCCCTTAGGCTGCAGAGAGTTTGTTGATTAACAACAGGAGGACTCGCTGAGTCCTTCCCCATGATCTATTGGGGTATATATACGATTACAGGGTTGTTTGTACATGTGTACTGTACAGTTGTAAATAAAGTTAAAAATTCGATGTCTAGCATGTGACCGTTCACACAATGAGTCTAGACACTGGTCAGGTGACTATGAAAAGTCGAAAATGTAAAGTAAAGTAAATGGTCACATGACTGGTCATGTGACTTGGAAAATAAAAGTAGAAGTACAAAAGTGAAGCGTAAGTAGGTGCTGGTATGTCAATTGTAACACAAACACTTTCTATCCCATGGATGTTTTGGACATAAGGCTTAAGTTGTTTTTTTGGGAAGTAGATGTGTGGTGGTGGCGGTACGTCTTTCTAGTATATAAGACTAAAGTATATCTGATGACATCTGATGTCAAATTGTGTTTTTACAGCCATACATGATTTTACAATACTCGCTACTAATCATGGCTCAATTGACAACACCCTTCTCTCCTGCTTGGTCTGAGCATGCTTTAACTCCACCTCTGTCCCCGGAAACACCCCAAGCGGCCATCCAATGCACCTGAACCCACTGACCCTCTATCCGCTGCTTTAATAGAAGTGTGTTCTCTGCTGATGTCTGCAACCGCAGAACATATTGCCACAATTGCAGTAGAAGATAACCCAAGAACCCTTTTCAAAGGTGATAACTCTGAGCATTGGGCCACAGAGAGTGGAGAATTATTTGCCATGACATTTCCTGCAATTTTGGATTTCAATACCAATTTCAGCCGACTCGGTCCTTATTTCAGCATAAGGAGTCTCAAGCCTGTAAGTATCCACTTTTATATCTCTTGTCTGCAGCTTTGTAACTAATATCCTTCAAACAGTTCCCTGTCCGCACAATGAAGAAGGTGAAAGCAGTGTATTCCTTGTGTCCCATCCCAGACATTAAGAATCATCCTGAACTGGCCATCCAATGCTCAGCTCAAGCTTTTAGGACTCTGATCTGCCTCTGTGACAAGGTGGAGCAACAGAGAAACAAAGGTATGATAACCTGTAGTCTGTCTATCCACCTTATGTAAACACTCAAGCATACTAGGCTTGCATCCGCAAGATGTACTGACAAAGTCCGAGTTTCTACGCCAAGAAAACCAAAGTTTTTCTTAATAATCCTCCACTCAAAGCCAATTTTTTCCGGTTTTGGTGATCTCGGCAAGACCACCCCCAAAGTCAGTAGAGCAGATCTTGCAGGTACTGTAGAAATTATATTATGTAAGTGAACTTTGCCCAAAGATTTACTCTGTGATTATAACTGGCCTTTTGTGGCTATTATTGTTTTTTCATATGATATTTATGTATGTTTGTTATATAAGAAGCCCTGTATTTACATTGTTATGGCATTTGTTTGCCCAAGAATCCTTCTTCCACGCTTGTTCCCATGCTCAGAGGGTCCAAATATCCAACAGGTACAACTGTTCTTGTTTATTTAAATGTGCCATGCTGAAATTTTTTCATTGTACATGCACCTGGTGTTGTCAGCCCCAGTATGTCCACAGTGTATCTCTTCTTTTCTGTATGTATTTTGATGTTGATTGGCAGAAAAAGCGACTGCAAGTGCTCCCAAAGCCACAGTCCAGATTCCCTTGAAAGGTATATGTTTGCAAAACTTACATTGTTGACAGTAATTGATTACTCTGGTAAGGTGTTGCCAATTGGAAAGTCGCCAACATGCCCAACCCATAGGGATGGTACAGGAACTTGAATATCATGGCACAGCACAATGTCTCTGCCGTTTTGGTGGTTGTGCCAGATGTGCGCAATAAAAATGGCATCCTCATCTATCCTACCCAGTACCGCAAACACATCCCAAACATGTCTTTTGTTTTCATGGAGGTATTATTGAAACTGTGTGTCACATCCTTATTTTTCCCCCATTAACAAAGACTTAGTGATACCTCATAGGTGGACAATTGCAGGTTCAGCTCAGAGAAAAAGCTCTCGAGCCTACCAAGTGGTACTGAGGACAATGAAGGTCATTCCAATGTCTAACACTGCTTGAGGACTTTTGTTCCAAACACCATGTGTAACAACGGAATCTTGTGATTCTGATGAAACCTGTCACAATAACACATTTTCGGACCTTTAACTTTCATTCTCCCCTTTAACCTTTTACTATAGTTTTCACACACAGTGCCATGCAGCACTTTCCCTTTTGTTCAAACTCCTCTTTCTTGCGCCGCATTGCCTTTTTTCTTATTTTAGATACAAGTATCTCACGCAGTGGAGCTGGTCACACGGGCTGCACCCGTGACATCATCAGCCACTACCTTCATCAACTGTATAGTACATATGTACAAACAAACCTGTAGTAGTATATATACCCCAATAGATCAAGGAGCCTCCTCAGCAAGTCCTCCTGTTGTATACCAACTAACTCACTGCAGCCTAAGGGGTAACCACTCCCTCATCTCTACCTTTATAGTGTGTCTTAGTGTGCGCCAGAGTAACTAACTCTTGGTTGTTACAAAACCCTGATTGTCACTCCTTCCCAGGTGAAAGTGCAAGGCCAGTGAAATGGCGGGACCTTCTTCTCCCACCAAGAAGGGAAATACTGTGATCTCCCCAATTCATGTGGGGTTGGACTTGGATTTGGATCTTGATATTCCCTTTGAAACTATGAGTATCAATTTAGAGGAATGACTGATTATCAATATACATGTTCATCAGCTTTCTTGAGTGCTAGGAATACAATCCTAGACAATAGACAAACAAATATCTTGTGCGATGTGATTTTGGGTACTTTGTAAATTTTGCAGTGAAATATGTCACCCCAAAATGGGGTCCCTTGAATGACTACAATTGCAAACTAGATTTTGGTTATGAGTTTTACATGATTATGTTTATTGAGTTGTTGAGTCGGGGATTGGCGCCACGGCGCTGCTAGGATAGGTACAGTATATTTACCCTTGCTAATAGATGGAGGCTCCTCAGTGAGTCCTCCCATTGTTTACCGAACCAACTAGCTCCTACCCAACTTGAGGCTAATAAGCTCTTTCTTGCCAAAATTCTCTTTGACTTCCTTGTTGTGTGCACCAGAGTATACCAAGCTTTGGGTATTGTCACAGTGTTCACATCTACTTTTTGTGCTGACATGGCAACCTTATTCAGTTTGTACGTAAAAAAGATAACTGGAGGTCCCCCACTCTATTCTACAGATCTACCACCTGGGGTCTTCAATTTTCCATGATGCGCTGATGCGTTGGTTCAAGGAATATAAAAACCACTTGATGAAGAGCAACTCACTTAGATGCACGTGATCTGCGTCGGATATCGGCATTTCCCAGGAACGCTATCTTCCTCCTAAATGGTCACCGTATGCCTACTAGTAGGGGAGGTTAACATATATTAAATCTTTGCATCAGCTGCAAAATTGATACTGCTCGTGGCTTCATCAAGGATCACAACTGCGCTGCTGCGTAGAAGGCCCGTCCGTAGAGTCCTATCGTGCTAACTAACGTGCTGCGAATGCACGTCCATAAACGTGGTTGCCTACCTCGCAGGCTGTTTTGTTCCATTCTAAACGTCTGCTTGGACTGGTTCATATCTTCACCCACTTTCTTCTACTATCATCCGAGTCATGTCTACCTTAGCAGATGCGATAGCGATGGCTCTGTCTCGGACGTCCGAGTCTGGACAGTCATACCAGCCTGCTATTGTAGCGTTCTTCAACCTAGCAAATACACTTATAAAGAGTTTTGTGAATACCACTTCAGATCCAGCTGACGGTCTTTGTGAGGTACGTTACCATCCACTCAAGGCTGTTAGTTAAATTGATTTTGATTCACCACTTTTTGGTTTAGTATTGTCTCGCACGCCCCAAACATCGTGACGGCGACGTCGTCCATCCTTTTTGTGAAAAGGAATGCGCCGCTCAAGACTATGTTTGTGTTCAGCCCACAGAACAGGCTCCAAATCAAAGTAGTGGTAACCAGACAGGCGAAACCTGTGATGTAGGTTCTATGTCATTTTTGGGCACAATTGCTTACCTGTCAATTGCAGTTCTGCCATAGTCGGCCCAAGTACTCCAGCGGAAAGACGACACACCCTTTCTGCTCAAGAACATGCGCAAAAAATGCAAAGAAATGTGCTAAATCTGAGCCTCAGGAGAACGGCTCGCCTCTAAGTATGTCGCTAACTTTGAATTAACACCATTCATCTTTACACTACTTTACTAGGCGATGTCTGCCTTTTGTGTCGAACTGCTCCCAAGCAAATTGAGAGTCACTTTTGTGGGAAAGCCTGTGCGGATGAAGCAGAGAAAAAGGCACCCATGGTTCTGAAAGTACCGGAAGATCATGTCACCTTTGCGAGCGGTAATATTCAGTATATTTTTCTTTTCCTAAAGCTAAATGAAGATATGTTTAGTCGCTAATCAGTTCACTGCCTCTTGGAGACATAGCTCGAAGACATGTCCCAAAGTAAGGGTAATCTACAAAGTCATCAGTCCTGCATCTTCCATTGCAACTTACGATGAATACCGGTTCGTAATGTTCTCTGTAACATAACTAGATAGATCAACTAAACTATCGTATGCAGTGCACGTGTCGAGGAGCGAGGTAACTTTGTAGCTGCAGGAAGAACTGCCGGAAATGAATGTCGTCGTTGGCATGGATGCCAGCGCGAATGTAAACTTGGAAATCCTGGAAAGACAAAACTTTGTTCATCTTCAACATGCTCTTTGTGCTGCATCCTTCGCACCTCTTTTGATATATCATGTTTTGGCAAAACTACAGGTTGGGGCAGGTATGCTCCTCACTCCGTGCATGATCTTCAGCACTGATATTCCCATTTAGATTTGGAAAGGGTATCTACACCTCATCTACTTCTTCGAAGTATGTGAATGGCTCTCTGCCTCTGAGCCACTTTTCTCAGCTTCTCTCAGGTCCGCCAGTTATGTCAAGACCAGTTCATCTTCAAAGTTCAAGCCCATGCTTTTGAACAAAGTCGTCGTAGCAGAGGCTGCAAGCTAAGTTCC